CTTCTTTGTGGCTTTTGAGCCATCTTTGTCTTCTCAACAAGGTTGTCGTGCTAAGACCCCTTCTTGCAGCTTGGAAGCTACCGTCAGTCATGTGTTCGATGGTGGTTCATAGTGGCATTTTTTCCTATCTCTTGTCATATTAATGTTATGCATCTTGGGTCTTCGAACAATGTCTGGATTGGTAGGGTTGCAGCTGATACAAGGAAGGGCTCAAGTTTTGGCTAGTCTTTGAGGTGCTGATTTTCTTTATACTCAAGTTAGTTGGACGCGTGTTGCATATCTCTGTCCCTCTTCTTGTTGTGGTCGCTGTTTCCTTTTTTTGGTGTCTTGTTTTTGTTGTTGATCTAGGCAGGCCTTTTTTCTGGGGTTATTTGAGTTACGTTCAAATGGGCCTCTTGTGATAGGCTGACATTTTTAATTTCAATGTTTTTATCTTGTTTTTAATGAAGTTGATCTTTTTATCAAAAAAGATAATAATTTAGAATTTTAATTTAATGTTGATTTAAATTTTACTTTGAAATAAATTCCAATTCAAAGTTTTCTGATACTATTGGACCATTTGATCTTTGATTTCAAAATTGCACCTTTGTAATGCATTTCATACTGGGAGGGTTAGGATTTTATACAATGAAAAGATAATTAGTTACTTATCCTTACATACCTAATAAATTTACTTAATTAATATCATTTTGTCTTGCGTTAAAAAAATAAACATTGATTCAATCATATATGATTAGTTAGTTATCGATCGTTTGTATTAATTTTTTCATCAGCATTATTTCACCCTAAATGCTGACGTAGAAGGAAAAAAAAATAAAACACATGATTGGAACAATGGACATAATAGTTTAATAATAAGAGTTTATTATATGTATAGAGAGAGAGAGAATAAATCATGTAAAAACATTCATAAGATTTTACATATCCATGTTTAGGAGTACTTTCTCCACCCGCTCATCTTAAATATAGATTAATTAATTTATAAATATTAGAAAAATTTGTTGAATTAATTATTTGTGAAAATGTGTATTAATTTCTTTAAAGCATGACTGTAATCCCTTACCCAAAAAAAAACACGACTTTTAATCATTTATATTGAAAATTATTTTCTAATTAATTTTTTTAATATATGCAATTAATAATGAGAATCTAAGAAAAAAATTATAATTTAATTGATAAAGTGGATTGATGTTTTATATGCGCAAAATAAATTTATCTATTGAGAGGATGAAGTGATATCTAACAATAAACCTCTACATGATGACTAGAAAGGTTTGTGGGTGATAAAATTAAAAAATAAATAACATTGAGAAATCTTTTTTTTTTTTTGTTGTGAACAGAAACTATAAAGTTTAAACCAACGGAGATTGGGTCTAGTAGAAGGGATTATTCTCTTATAATAACACACCAATATTCAAATTTCCGCTAAGAGAGATACTTATATTTAGTACCTGATAGTATTTTGAATAGGATTGTCTCTAATAAAAGAATAGATGTACATGGCAAAAAAAGAAGAAAAGAAAGAAACAATAAAGTTTAGATGGTAAATATTTGAGGATTGAGCCGTTAAATAACTTCTAAAAAAAAAAAAAGGATGTAAGCTCAATTCCAAATGTTGAATTAAGGAGACATGGAACAATAGTCTTACTTATGAAGAGGGAAAACTTAAGAGATTTTTAAATTATATTTTTATGTTAAGCTTTACATGATTAAAATTTAAAGTTTCAGTATTAATACTTAATAAGGCCAACAAATATTAATACTTAATAATGGCTATGACAAAAGAAAGTTAGGAAAAATAAAATTCAAAGTCTATATAATTTTATCTAACTGGGAATAAATCCTTATAGTTCAAATTTTCTTAGGTTCTCTTGTTAATGCTACTGTTCATCATTGTGCAAAAATCCAGAAACAACATCCTCAAAACCACGTTCAGGTTTGGATTACATGAAAAACAAAAATTGAAGTGGCATTTTAATTACAACACACACACACACACACACACTCTGTCTCTCTCTCTCTCTCTCTCTCTCTCTCTCTCTCTCTCTCACTCTCTCTCATATGCTTAACATTCAAGTGTACAAAATTTTACTGACCTATGCCAACATGAGAACGCAAAATCTAGTTTTGTAGATAAAAGAAATTATGATAAGAAAATGTTTCCTTTTTACGATTAGCCGTAGTTGAACATGAATTATTCAGTATTACTAGATGATAAATGATTTTTAAAAAGTCAGCTTCACATTATTATTATTATTATTTTTTGCCAATGTCATCTTCAGATATTTTTATTAGCTAAGATATATTTTTAGCCCTTTAATTTTATAAATTATATTTTTAGTCTTTTAATGCTAAAATCATTAACAAAAAAAAAAGATGATAAGATCTTCAACGTTGATAAAACATTTTCTGATGTTAACATATTAAATTTAATTTTCAAAATAAGCATGATTCTTATAAAAAAAAATCATCATTTTAAACTAAAAATTTTATGGTTAAAGAACTAAAAGTATGTCTTTTAAAGTTAAAGAACCAAATTAAAATATTATACAAAATTAAAAGACCAAATGTATATTTTTACTTTTTTTAAATTAAAAAGCTTCACATTAATGTTGGGGGAAAAAAGAAAAGCTTCACATTAATCAAGATCCTTTGAAGTATAAATTTTTAGGAAAAATTAATCATTTGATTTTATAATTTTAACTCGATTGTAACTTAGTACTTAAATTTTAATTCAGTATAACTTAGTTCCTATAGTTTTAACTTAATCGAATTCTGACAAAAAAATCAAATTGATGGAAACTTAAACTTTAACTCAGCACAACTATATACGTATACTTTTAGCCATTTAAAACTGTAACTGGTGTTTGAAAAAATAATGTTAGTCTTGATAATTTTTTTTTTAAATATAGAAACTAAGATTCTGAATGTTTTAAATTATAGGGTTTAAGTTGTATCAACTTAAAGTGTTTCGAGATTGAAATATTAACCAAAGTAAAATTATAATTCTTGATTTATATCTCGTTAAAGTTTAAAAACTAAGTTACAAACTAATTCAAAGCCACAGAGTCAAATGATTATTTTATTCCATTTTTAGTTAATTATTACGCAATAAACAATAAAAATGTGCAGAGAATTTACTAATTATTGTTCTTATATTCATTCGCTCCCTTCTTTTTTTTTCATAATAAAGGAGCTCAAATTAACTGCTACTAGCATGAGCAGAATTATTCGTGTCCTTAACTAAGAAAGCATCTAATTGAACAAAAAAAAAGGTGAAGCTAAACCCTTCCAAATGATCTAACCCTATATGCCATCATCAATCTATATATCTCTAATTATTTAATACATTTAAACTCTACAATACACAATTTAAAATCTGTCTCTCTAAACTAAATTAGAGAATCTATGTCCATAAAGAAAAATTGCGAAAGGAAAAGTCAAAAAGAACAAGAAAGTCTAAGAATCCTTGCCAGCTGGTTTTTTTTTTTGGTCACCAAACTTGCCAGCTGGTATGATTTGGTAATATCATCAGTAAATCGATGGTTAAATTTGTCTGATCTTAACAACTTCAATTTGTTTTATTTCATAATCTTTGAAAAACACAATCCTAATCTAGTGGTTTGTCCAAAATCGAAGGAAACTAACCCCTCAACCTCTCAATTCTAATGTAGCCTTTCTCACAGGGTTCAAAATTGATGGCAATCTCATTTTGTGGGGCCTGCATGCCAAGATAAGTAGATAACAACTGGCTAATCATCTTCATAATTAAGGTCTTCTCCTTCTATGCAATTTGTATAAATGAAGCACAAAATTGAACACAACTATGTTTATTTCTTTTTAATTTGTATAGGCTTTAAAGATAATCTGAATTTGTTGATCTCTAGTTTTCTTGCATCAAATTGAACCTACCTTTGCACACACACAACCACCCACTTTTAATTGTATATAGTTACAACAAGTTTGAAATAAATCTAGATATATTGATGTCTCTGTTCTTTTCACTATCTACATATCTCATTGTTGCTATTTGGTGATATAAATAGTAAAAGGGTATGTAAATATATTAACAACTCAATTTGTTTTATTCATCTAATCTTTGACTAACACAATCCCCTTTTTGGCCAATATGAAGCAAAAGGACATAAACTTATGGATTTTGGATGTTATTTAGTGGGACTATTTCGCCGAATCAACTAATTCTTAACTTAATATAAATTATAATTAATTTTAACTAAATAAAATATCATATTTAATTTAAAATTCATCTTATCCAATTTCAAGATATCTTATTTAATTAAAATACTATATGTGATTGAAAAATATTCCTAATATCTATCACAATCGCTTATCCGATATTCAAAGCAAGGATAATATATTAGATTTTTTTTATTATAAATATATCACACAATTACTCATTAAATATGGCCAGCCATATATTTTTTGAAAAACAAAGCGAGTGAAATTCTCTTTCTTTGCTCATGAGGGTGTATCTATTGTGTTGTGCCCAAATAAAATAGGCTCTATTGGTCTATTCATGTGTGAGTATACCAATAGATCCAAATTAAATCAGACGCGTCTTCTTCCTAACATAAACCATGATGTAAAGGAAAGTTACCACTCAACTTTTATAGTCTAATGCTCCCTCTGAAAGCGTTCAAAAATGATGGCAATCTCATTTTGTGGGGCCAACGCCATGATGAAAACCACTAGTTTTTTTTCTTTTTCATTTAAAATTTTCCCCAACTCTAATTAGAAAAAGATAAAAGTTTCATCGATTTTGGACACATTATTCTAATTTTCTTTTAATTGATTCCCTTTTCATTTTTTTTAATCAAACTAGACTGCCCATTGCACAAATTGTATGATTGGAAAGAACTAGATAAGTTGGTACCCTCAAAATAGGCCACCATTATTATATGATCTATTTCTCTTTAATTACATGAATAATATATTGAAAATAATATATGCTCCCTCCTATCCTTTTTATAAAGTACAAATAACCAAATCACATAAATTAAAAAGTTGGCTATACATATCTCTTGCAAAGAAGAAGATGTCATTCCTTAAAAATTCTCATATATAGGACCAGAGGGCAGTATTATATCTCTCCTTCCTCTTCACCATATTGTTTTTCATTGGCATTATTAGGTTAATTAATTTGAAAAGAGCGACACAAACCCGCAAAGAAAGTTTTACACACACACACACATCTATGGAACAAATAATAAGCAAGCTTAACTTGGCATTATCGACTTCACTGATAGCTCTAACAGAAGCTACACACAAGCTCTCGTACTTCATAACTTTTCCATATCATGAATATGACAGGAACTAGGTAAACCCAAAATGTATGCTTTAGTAGAATTTAACTAAAGAAACCATCATAAATTAACCCTATCCTCTAACGTATCACTGATCTAATTAGATCAAGGCTGAAACTCATCTATGTTATTATTACCCTCAAGCCCCAGCTGGTTCTGATATCCTTGCATGGAGTTATTGTTCTCATAGTAGTATTTCCCACCTTCCATAAACCTTGTATCACTCATTCCTTGCCTCTCACCGTTATACTGACGATACCTATGATCATATCCGCCATTGTTGCCGTTGTAGAGCTTCTGGTTCTTCCTCATCTGATTACTCGACATATTCTCGTATCCTCCTCCTGTGTACCTTTTCTTGTCCAGATCATTACCATAGGCATCCTTGTAGTAGTTATTATTGTTGTTGTTGATGAAATCGTTCTGGTCTCTGTTATAGTACGAGTACTTGTTTGGATACTTTCTCATGTACTCCTCCTCAGACTCAGTCTTGTAAGGCTGGTATGTGGTGGTGGTAGTGGTCGGACCGGCGGACTCGTGGCCATAGAGGCCATAGTTGTTATCAATCTCAGGAATGAAGACGGGCTCTTGCTGATCTGGCTTGTTCATCATCACAGGTTCTTCTTTTTCGTTGGGGAGCTCGGTTTCTTCACCATTATTCTTGTCGATAACGGGATGTGTGACTTTGCTGAAGAACTGACTGTCTCTGGCTTGGATTTGCAGAGACGACAAGAGAAGTATTGTGAAGAAGAGAAAAGAAACCAAGTTTGAGGAGAGAGCCATGGAAGAAGATAGAAGATTTGGAGCGTGCATATTATACTTGTAAGTGTCTTTATTTATATAGAAGACCTCGAAACAGAATCTATAATATCGTGTGTGTGTGTGTAGACAGACAAACTCAAATGGGACGGAGGCTTTTGTGATGATTGTGGTCCCCGGGCTGTGCTTGATGAACTTTATGTAATCGATGAAATGGGCCATTATTTTTCCTTCATGTTGTTTTTTTTAATCATAATTTACGATATATAATTAAATGACCTTGTCAGGACTCTGCCAATTTCTCGATGGAAAACATCACTACAAGTTGCTAATCTTTGCTAGTACAGTTTTGAGGGGTAAAAAAAGAAACAAAAGCCTGTAAAGTGTGCACGCTTCTTTAGGTGCTTATCAGCTCATCAGATCTAAACTGTCTAAATCTATCGTGGATAGTCCAAATTTAAAATTTTTAATTAATTATTTTTAAATAAAAATTATTTTTTAAAAATAATAGTTAAATACTTATTTTTATTTTAAATTCTATACGCGTTGAAATAATCATTTTAAATTAAAAAAAATAAAAAAGGGATCAAATATGAACTATTAGAATCAAATTTGGACAGTCTAAATTTGATGAGTTTGGCATGCTCATCAAATTAGTGATAGGCACCCAAACTGGTTCGATATTCAGAGCACTTTAGGTTTTTTTCCCCCTTGAAAAAACAATTGCTGAACAGAACTAGTTATCACAAAACCAGCAAATTTACGTTTTTATGAGTAGCTATAGCGAGAGTTACAGAATTTTAAAAATAAGCAACTAGCTAGTGTAAGGAGTGTGTTAGAAGAGGAGTGAGATTAGAAATGAAAAGGCTGTTTTAATATATTTTCGTAACGTGTAAGCAAATTTTTCGGTCATGAAGGCTTAAATAACTGCAAAAACTTCGCACGGTTTTGGCTTTAGGAACAATATGATCAAGAAAATCCCGAGGTTGATTACATTCAATGAGTTTGTTCATGTAAATCCCAATGGGTAAATCAAAATTTATGATTGCATGTCCTTAAATGGCGGGGCACATGATGTTGTTCTCAGAAGGGCAAGGGACAAATAAAACTAGAGTAGCATATGAAAATGGGTAAGAAGTACAGTTAAATTTTAACCAACTCAAGAAGTCTCTAATTTAAGCTGTTGTGTTTTATGTTGAGAGAACTTTTCTTTAATTATCTCTTGCAAAAAAAAAAAAATACCATCATTAGTCCTTAATATATGATCTAATTGATTAATTTGTGGAGAATAAAAAAGTTACTAAATTATTTAATTAAATCATATGTTACATGAGATCTCTAAAATACTTTTATAAATGAGGCAAATTAGATCGGAAAAAAACAATAAATATAAATATTTCAAAATAATTAATAATTGTCTTAATTTTTTTAATTAGTCAACTGAATCTTATATTAAGAAAATAACGAGGCAGTAGTAGCTGTGTACGATTAATAGATGCGGAGATTGTGGAGTGAGTGAGACGTGAAAATAGTGGGATTTCATTAGTGCACACACTCCATGTGCCCTCTAAGCTTTGTCCACAACGTGGAATGCAGCTATATACGCGTTTTTGTCATGAACGCCAATTCAGCTTCGGCCCTCTAATATTACAGATAATTCGTATAAATTAATATTTTTATTATTTTTATTTTTTGCCAACAAAAATTAGCATTTGCATTAAAACCTTTAATCCACTAACCAATAGGTGTTGGTCTTTGTAGTTTTAGCTCACCGAGTTTTGACCGCTTAAGTATGAGGTCTCAAATTTCAGTCCACGTGAATGAACGTAGATTCCAGTAAAGCCAATATAACTGCTCTTTTTTTTTCTTTATGAAATATTATGCCTATATCTGTAGATTATTTAGCCTTCATAATCAAGCTGGCTACATGTAGCAAAACAATGCAAGAATCGTCCGAGGCTGATGATGAACTGGCAGGCATTTGCCAATATATTTATTTAGATCATTCTGAAACGAATGAGAAGCACGGTTAAGTAACTCTAAACTACACAAAACGTGAATTGAAAGATCTCAATAGAGAGCTGATTTCACAATATTATAAAAAGGAGAAAAAAAAGGTGTTACAAAAGAAATGTTCAAGAAAGGGAATTGATAAGTTCCAACCCACATAGGAGCCAAGGGAGAGAGGCAAAAGGACAGAAAATAGTGAACAATTGGTGTGGAAGAAAACACAAAAAGCTTTCGAGCGAAAAAGATAAATAAAGTGAATGAGCAAAAGAAGCGAGTAATGATGAAGTGGGGTTCACAACGAGATTTCACAAGGATGAAGACAAGGGGAAATAATTAGGGTATGTTTGGCTCAATGAGAGGAAGGGGAGGGGAAGGATTTTAATGGAGGGAAGGGGAAGGGAGGGGAGTGGAAGGATTTTAATATTATCTTGTTTGGATTTATAAAAAAAGAGGGGAGGGGAGGGAAAAATATTTTAATACGGACAATTTTGCTCTTATTTTATTTAAGGCGTGGGCATAATGGTCACAACATGACAAAATATAAACATAATGGTCACAACATGACAAAATATGGGCATAATGGTCATAATATAACAAAATATTGCCATTTCCCTCCAAATCCTCTTAATTTTGGAGGGAGGTTGAGGAGGGGAGGGGAGGGGAAATTTTAAAAATTTTTCCCTCCCCTCCTAAAATTTGTGTGTTGCCAAACACAAATTTTATCTATCTATGAGATACATAGCATTTTAATTATGTTCTTTTGATGATCATCCCCCACATTTCTGTTTTAAGGTGGAGAATGATAACAGGAGACCTAGAAATTTTATATGATTCACGTTGGTGAACCAGCCCCTTGGCCAATCTGGTCAAAAGTTTTGGATGAGTCAACTGAGTTGAATTTTATTTTATTTTTTGTTTTCTTATTGAGTCTGAAATGACATCATTTAGAGTTTAAAAAATAATAATAATAATCCATACTCGTGCTTTAGTAACTTTATTTTGTGGGGTTATACTTGTTGATAAATGACTTTTTATTTGAACATTATTTGATTAGTCTGATCTAGGGTTAGTGGTACTTTAAACCATTGACTCTTGAACTAGTGCCTCGATCATTTTATTAGTCGATTCGATTTTCAATACCTTGATCTGCATACACAGGATGTGATTAAGGTGGCTATAACAGATCACCCACCCATCTTCTTATTATACATAGATTCATATGTTCATCATGCTATATATGCAATAATTAAAAGGGACAGACTTGAGTGCGATTGTAGAAGAGGCCTGATGGACTCCCATGAGGCAACAATGCTAATCTGATAACATTGGAAGCATCTTCTTCGACAGTGAAGAAGCCTGTGTTGGCATTAACATCTATCTTCACAAAGCCAGGGCAGAGGCTATTGATGCACATATTGGGATACTTGTTTGCCACAATTCTTGTATAGCCAATCAAAGCAGCTTTAGAAACTTTGCAAGCTGCCATTATCTTTGGCCATCCTTTCCTCTCATGTGAACCTTCTTTCAAGTCTTTCAGAAACTCTTTCACTACTTCATTCACTTTCTCTTCTGTCAGCTTACTTGCATCACTCAGCTCTCCTTTTGCCCATTCATTTGATAAATGCTGAATTTAATAATGTCGTGCAAATTGAAACAATGAACAACCGTCTCAGAAAATTAAAGACTACTGAGGATATATTATGTCAAACAACTAAATAATACATATAAATATGAACGTTGAAAATATTAATCCTGAAAGGTTTTAATATAAACTCCTCATAGGATCCTATTCATAAAATACTTTCAATATACATTTTAATTGGAACAAAAAAAGAACCTTGAAATTTGATAACTTTTCAAATTTATCTTTAATTCTGAAAGTTTTTAATATGTATATATATGAGAAAATTAATCTTTTGATCCTTATATTTTTTTTACTCAATTGTAATTTGATCCTTAAATTTTAATTTATACAACTAAATCCTTATTGTTTTGACTCAGTTGAATGGTCCTTGAATTTTAACTCGTTATAATTCAATCCCTTGAGTTCTTTTCAACCATTTAATTAAAACTTTAGTCTGTATTATGAAACTTATAATTCTACATTCTCACAAATAGGGACTAATATTTTAAATATGGTAAACTAGAAGGATTGAGCTTCATCCAATCAAAATTTAGGGACTGAATTGTAATAGAATTAAAAATACTGGGACTAAGTTATATTGAGTTAAAATTTATGGACTAAATTAAAATGAAATCAAAATATAAGGACAAAATATTAATTTTTTGTACCCTCACACAAACAGAATGAAATATTTGTGAATACCTCTTGCTTGCCCAAGAATGATGCCACATTGACAATTGTTGGTGAATCTGATAACTGTAGAAGGGGAAGAAGAGCTTCTGTTGTCCTTTTTGCACCAAAATAATTTACTTCCAAGCATTCTTCCCCTAATTCATATGGTTCACTCATTGCTCTTTTCCTCTCATCCTCTGACAGTGCCTACAAATTAATAGTTTAAATGTCATAAAATAGCTGAGCATCATCTTAATATGTATATATTTCTAGACTTTTTTTCCTGTGAAGTGCACGGAATGGTTAATTGTTAGAGAAATTTTTGACATACAAACATTAAGAAAAGTTAACTCAGTCTTCCTTTTGAAATTTAATATATTCATTATATCGCTCAAACAATTAACAGTCTTAATTAAAGTAGACCAGATGATAACTACAAATTAAGAAAAGAGGAGTAACGATATATTTTCTTTTTAACACACTGAAAAACAGTGAATTAGCAATGGAATTGTATTTCATCGAAATTCCAGGGTTAATTTGCTTTTCTGGTGTAATGTGACAAGGATCGAATGAATGCTAATTTATAAAAAATTTTGAGCAATTGAACTTCACTAACGACATAAACTTAGAGGCAGAATCAAACTTATGACCTTCTAATTATATGAGAACTTGCATACATGTCACTAGGTTACAAGATTATTTATTGATGAATTAAACTGAATGGTGTAAAAATAAATCAAAGGGCCAAAGAATTAAAAGTCTATTCCCTTTATATATAGTCTTACCTCTCCATTAGTGATTGCCAAAGGTATCAAAGAAGTGTCACCATACATGACTCCAGAAATTCCTGCATTTTGTTACCAATATGATATCTTGACGACATGAAACCACATATCCATATCAAGTAATGAGAATCCTCAAAGCAAATAAGAGGATTCATCACAAGGAAAACAAAACAAGCACAAGTTTATTGGCAATTGAATCATATATGCTTAATTTTTGGTCAAAAAATCATGCTTAATTAGTACTTAAGTTTGAAAGAAACCAAGGTAACATTTTGAGCACCTGATACATATCATAAAAATCAATCACACCATTTCTTTTCTTTTTCAAAAGAAAAAAAAGAATAGAAAAATAATACAACAACAAGCCCCAGCAACATGCATAGACTGTACAATATCATTGACCTTATCAACAATTAAATATTGGCTAAAATACACAGAATTTCCCTAAATTTTAGCTGAGTTGCGCGTTACCTGCCTAACTTTTAAAAAAATTTAAATTAAAAACCCTGATTTTTTGTGTTTTGACTATTAACTCTCCCGCTGTTAAAATTAACGGTTTTGCTCATGTCATATTCTTTTATTATTATTATGTACCATTTCATCCAAAAAATAAAATTTGGTGTCTTATATATAATTTAAGCATTTTTTGTTTTTTGTTTTTAAAAAGATATGGTCTAATAAGTATGTGAAACTTTTTTATTAAGTATTTTATATTTTTAAATATTTATTTTAAGTATAAAAATATATAAAATTACGTGTCAAATGCCAAATATTACTCTTATAAATGAAATGGTATATAATAAAAAAATATGACATGATCAAAATCGTTAACTTTAATGCCAATTTTAACGATAGGAGGATTGATAGTCAAAACATGAAATATCAAGATCCTTAATTTAAACTTTTAAAGGTCAGGGAGGTAAAGTGCAATGATCTAAAGTTTAAGGGAATTTTGTGTATTTTAACCTTAAATATTTGAATGAGTTGTCATCTGCCCAATAACTTTATGAGTATTGCAATGGATCCTTTTCAAAAGATCAACTCTATACTACTTGGTTTACCCTTTTCATCGACGCATTCAATGGGTTTTTTTTTTTTTTTTGAGTAGAGAAGTAATACAAGTAAATTTAAACACGTGTTTTCATGGTGGTGAATTCTTCTTTTGTGGTGAAATTTTGGAAAGCATGGAATTGGTGATTGAGTTAATAACTAAGAGATGCCAAGTTATCAGAAAACAAAACAAGTTTGGCAAAGGCAATCCAAGAGTTACCAAAATATCAAGTTCGCCGAAGTGGGATTTAATGAACTGAGCAAGAGAAGCCACACTTGCAGCATCGGCAACATCAAGCTGATGGAAAAGCACAAGATCTGAAGAAACAACACCAGACTATCTCAGCGTCTCCAAAGCTTCTAGACCCTTCTTCTCATCTCTTGCTGTGAGCACCACCTTCACCCCACCTGAAGCCAACTGCTTCACTGTCTCTAACCCAATTCCCTTGTTTGCTCCGGTTACCACTGCACATCTGCCTTGAGTTGCCTGTGGCAGTGCCATTATTGAGGAGGAATTTGAGCAACCTGCTTCTGCTCTACGCCTTCAATTAAATTTAAGTTCGGAAGGCTCTTAGAAAGGAGGATCCACGCAAGTGTTCCACAAGAAAATATCTTCAGTCGGTCACACAAGTCCAAAAATCGATAGTGTACCAGGTTCTGTGTGGGTGTTTTCAGTTGGCAATGGCTATTATTTTAAGTGGCTGCGCCATGTGAGTGGGTGCGTGACGGTTTGAAATGAAAATTCTATTTACCTGCCCTTCACTGCGTATCTGAAAATACCACGTCTTTGCCATTCATGGGCCTTCTCAAGTTTTGTTAGAAGTCTGTGTGCTACGACTGGAACGGAAGGGGAGGGAAGATGAGGAGTAAAAAAAAATTTAATAAATTCAATTTAAAAATTTTTAAAAAAAGAGGTTAAAAACCTTTAATTAATTTTTTTCTTTTATCATAAATCTTCTTTTTATCAAAACTTCATAACCTCATCTATCCAATCGTTTAAATCACATTCATTAAAATTTTCTCACCCCTTGTACTAAACATAGTGCACGTGAAAGTGACTTTTATTTCAACTGTATATTTTGTAAGTTTAAGTTGTTTTGAATACCCATTCACTTTTATACGATCCCAAAAACTCCAAATTTGTTTTAGTTCTAAACTGGGCTTTGGGGAATGAAATACTCCTCCAATCCTTAATATAAGACCTATTTAACTAATGTGATTAAATTAAAAAAGTTAAGTAAACTAGTTAATTATAAAAAATATGATATTTTTTTTTCTAAAATATCATAATCATCTTCTTTAATATCGTCCTTATCGTTTTTACTTGATTATGGTTGATAGAGTATCTATAGAGATAATTTAGAAAAAATTGATAAATATAAAAAATAAGTCTTATATTTAAGATTAAAATCATTTCAACATTTAGGTTCTATATTAAAAACTGAAAGAGCATAAGGGTATGAAAGAAATGAATCAAACTCAGTTCCTATGATCAACCTGCCTTTCTAAAATAATCGGCATTTCTAGTAGAGATTTAGTTAAACTTATTCTATGTACCAAAAGAATGTTCTTGCTAAATGACCTCAACGATACACAGAATAAGAAGTTAGATTCAATTATATATGTTCGGAAAATCAGGCTTCAGAGCATAGATGAATTACTTCATATCCATGAAAATCTTTTACCTAAAACATGAGATCACGTCAACTAGTTCTTCTAGCTAGTAGAACGCTAATCATTCTCCCTGTGAAATCTTGATGGCATGTGTTTACCAAAATTTACAACATAAATTCCTCTGCAGCGTCAGAACCCCATCTCTGAATGTAAATAGGAACTGACATCCTCTAGCGCCATGGAAAGATCAAGAACCAATGTTCCAAAAAAAGTTCATAGCGAGAAACAAAGAAGGAAGATCCAAGTCATTTGGGACAAATTTAAATATAACATCCAAACTTATCCGATGATTAAGAATTCCAATTACTGGATATGTGGTTTCTGCTGTAAACTTACCATTGTTCCACCTACTATTGTCAAAATGTTTGGTACTACTTTCTGTCTCATTGTGTGTTGGAACAGAGGTTTTAGGAAAATTACTCTTGAAACTGACTGTATAAAACCATTACTCCGCTAAATAAGGGATTACAAGTAATTACCCTTTTAGAGACATTGTTAATGATGTTAGACTCCTATATTCATAGGGATTGGCGGGTGAAGATCATGCATGCAGAATGGGTAATCAAATTGCCAACTTCCTTTCCTTGCCAAGTTATCTGATAACTACTGATCAAAGCAATTTTGTATCCTTAATCAATCTCTACCTCTGCGCCTAAAGGCAGAGAGTGATGAAGAAACCAAATGTAATCTTTTGTCTCTATGGTAATGATATGCAGCCTTCTAAACTTAACAAGCAGTGATGCCATTCATGAGCCATAAATGAGATGGATAGACTCCCATGTTATTTAATTCAGAGAAGTAAAGTTGTGCAGTCCTGTGGGGAACATATTTGTAATGCTAGTTTATACCATTTCATCCAACGATAGACCAGGCTCAGTTTCTTAGGTCTCAGCATGAGAAATATTTATACTTCCAATTTCGGCCCTGTTTGGATCCCCTGCATTTAGCATACACTAGTAATTTGCTTCCATGAGCACAGTTATTAGCAATCCAAAACGTTCTTTTGGAGAAGGAAAGAAGTTTTATTTAAAACATAGAGAATCTGTCTCGAAGGTTTATTTTACAGAGAGAGCATGCCGAAGCCTCTGACAACATACCAAATAAGCAAACCCATAAGCCATGTTCTTCAAAGTGGCCTCGTGGAGCTCCGAATTTGACGTCGCCGTGGCATCCGCAGAGAAGAATACCCTAAAACCTCTCACAAACGCCTCACGCGCCGTCGTCTCGCAGCAGAGGTTCGTCATCACCCCCGTCACAATCACCTCTTTTACCCCCATCTCCACAAGCTTCTCCTCAAAATTAGTGTTCCTAAACGCGCTGTAAGTGTTCTTCTCCACCACCATATCCGCGGGCTTCCGATCGAGTGTGGGAATAAGCTCCGCCTCCGGGGTGCCATCGAAGACGAGGTCGTCGTTCGACCACTCAGCGAGCATGCCGTAGTCATCGGGGGACTTGTGGCAGTGGCGCGTGAAGATGACAGGGATGGAGGCGTCCCGGCAGAGATGGATTGTGGTGGAGAGGTTGGAGAGGATGGGCTTGGCGATGGAAGAAAAGTAGTTTTGCATGTCAATGACCAGAAGAGCGCATGATTTAGGGTCTGGATTCCTCTTCCTTATCTCATATTTATTGTATGGAGATAATTTGTTGAGAGAAGACGCCATTGATGAAGGCTCCCTTCCTTCTGAGAATCAGAGTTCTCCCCACTCACTTCCCTCTTTCCTCTTCAGTCTGTTTCACCGTGCTCCAGTTTCACTCCTTAAAATTTTGGAATTCATTTACATAGAATTATTTATAGCAGATGTGGATGACCGGACGTTCTCTGTTCTCTTCCTTCCAATCACCTTCTAGGCTCTAGAGACTTCTTCGCTCTGTCCTTTTCCTCTCAACTCTGCGAGAGTCTTCTGACAAGTTTTCTTCTTCTTCTTTTTTCATGAGAAAAATAAAAGAGAGGGTGAAAAAAAAATTTAATAAGATCAATTTAAAAACTTTAAAAAAATAAAATTCAAAATTTTTAATTAATTTTTAGGAATAAGATTTATTTTTATTCCGAAAATATTCACTAAAATATCTTATTTTTGGAGTAATGTTATCTTAGAAGTAACAAAAATGTAGAACCTTTAAAGCTGGAAAAACGGGTTGAACCCATTGGGCTGACCTGTTCAAACTTGAAAATTACGAGGATTGAGTTTGAAATTTTTCCTCTCAAATGAGAAACAAGACCTATAAGGCCAGTCAATTGGCTTAAACGGGCCGGTCCTTTTAGGCTTTTTTATAATTTGTTTTTTTAATTTTTTGTGTAATTTTAATATTATTAATTTTTTACATCGTTAATAATATTTTAAATATTTATTTATTATTATCATTTTAAATTTAAATTTCACAGAATGGTTTGATTTATTTAGTTTTAGACAATCATTTGTCTAATTAAATTTTTAAAAAAGTGGTTAATTTAGACTTGAATAATAATTCGATTTACATCATATGCATTGATATTTTTAAACTATATATATTTGATAAAAGAGTATTTTTATGCTTATATAACTTATGATTCTATGATTTAAATTAGATGAGTTTTAACAACAATGTTTCTCAAACTAAAGTAAAATAATAGCTAGATTGCAAAATTTAAAAGTAAAATTTTTATAAAGAAGAAAAACTTGATATTTTTGTTACAAAAAAAATAATTATGAAGAAGACAATTAATTATAATAATAATGAAGTTTCAAAAAATTAATGATAGTGTTTGTTTATTGCACATTTAAACTACAGATAAAACTTTTGGATGTTATTTTGTTAATGAATATTTTAGATGTTCTTAGATATTAATAGATATTTATATATGATAATATTTTATATTTATAACTTAATTTTATTCACATTTACGTCTTTTATTAATAATTTTATTGATTTATTTTTATTTTTTATAAAAAATATGAAAAATATAAAAAATAATATTTTTTTAAACAAGCCGAAACTCACAGGCCCATGAACGTGTTAGTTTAAAAGTCAGACCTTAAAAATTAAAATATTTTTAAAATTTCAACCCTATAAATCCTGTCCTCAACCGTCATTCCCACCTCTATCTTAACAAACACAACGTATGTTAACCTAAGCATTATGCTTAGGCGGCTTTGCCACGGACAATATGTTAAGCCACGTCATCATTACCCTCACCGAACGAAAAAGAGAGGAAATAAAAAATAAATAAAAACTACCCCCTCGCCCTTCATCAACATCGGTTCATGAACAAGAAAACCCAAAACCAGATAAAAATCAATGTAAGGGGAAGAAGAACAATCTGGAAAAGACAAATAGCTTCCCCTTTATCGCCCATCAAAGAGACGATTCTGATTTTAATATGCTTCATTCTTCAAACTTCCATTACCGATTATTTAATAGCTTTCTCTTATTTTCCCTTGCTTTGTTCTACCCAATCCGTTTAGCTTTTTGTTGAATAAGTTATTACCACCCTTGGACGTTTCAGGGGAAACAGCTCAGGCTTTCATCTTTCTTTCAAAATCAACGATTTTTTTTTGGTAATTGTTAAATTTCAAATCTCAAAACCACTTGAAATATGAAAACCAATCTTTGAAAAAACAAAACAAAGAATCACCTGATTCAGATTGAAACCTCATAGCAATCGAGAAAAAAAATTTAAACCAAGCACTAGATCAACAATTACACTCGGATTTATTGGCAGGAAAAAATTAAAAAAAATTAATGAAAAGGAGTGAGGTTTTTCAGTTAGCCAATCAACTTAGCCCACGGGAGATGACATTGTCAGCTAGTGAGAAAACCTGAAACTTCGGAGAGTTGAAAATAGAACTGGGTAAAGAGCCACGGAAAAAATGTTCGGATAAATCGAGACATCGAAGGTATGAGATGTTTCATAGTTCTTCCGAAATCGAACCCAGAAGCTGGCTGTTGGGAAGAACCAAGGAACTCAATCTCGACAAGGCACTTGGGCTTTTGATTTCATTGCAGGTGACTCCATTCCATGAACAGAGCAGAGGCAGGAAGCGGAAGAAGAAAGAATGAAACTTTACTCAGTCGCCTCCTGCTGTCATCAGGAACTCTGCATCTCCTCACGCCTTCTTCGATTTGGCGGTCTTCTTCTTCAGTTCCCTTTCCATTTTGATTTTTGGAGGCTTTTATCTCTGCCATTTTTGTCACTGGGAAGGCAAAAGTTGACGTCTTGAATTTCTTCAGTGGAATAAGGCAAAAGTCGCCAAGAACTTACCAGGCGCATCATTATTTTTTTTTAATTTTTTTTCTCGCTTATTAATCCCACTTGGAAACCGGAAAGAGAGGATGAGATGGATGGATACCACGTCGCCTTGCCGCCTAAACATAATTTAGTCAACAAACGTTGACCGTTTAAATCTGGTAGGATAGATCCACATTGCTACATTTTTGCAACTATAATGTTATTTCAAAAAATACTTCCGGATACACACTGCTCTTAAGTGAATATTTTCAGGACAAAAATGGATCTTACTCCTAATTTTTATTAATATTTTATGTTACAACTTTCTTTTGTTAAAATTTTAAAACTTTACTTTTTTACTTTTTTAAATGGAGTTCATCAAAAATTTTTCTTCCCAGTCCTAGGGGTGAGCAACAAACCCATTACCCGCTAGCCCGCCCATGACCTATGAAATTTTTGCCCATTTAAGCCCGCCCAATTAGCTCAAATAAGAGATTATAAACGGGCGGGCTTAAATGGGCAGGGTAGCCCATTAAACGGGTTGGGCTATGGGCAAGGTATTGGGCTGCCCATACCCGCCCGTTTAAGTTTTAATTTTTTAAAAATATTTTTATTCTTCATTTAATTGATGATATTGTTTCTTATTCATCTTTTGTCAAACCTTCATGCTTGTCTAAGCTTTTATTTTATCCTTTAGGTGAAAGTTGGAACTTTCAAAGTTTATCAGACTTTATAATTGGTGACTACTTTTATGATTTTATCAGACTTTGATTGTTTGTGAATCTAAATGAGGTTGTGTGATTGAATATGATTGATGTTATTTCATATTTGATTTGTTATTTGGCATGCAAAATTTATTGACGCTTCATAAGGTTACATATACAAAATAACTATACTGAAAAAAAAAATTTAAAAAAAAATGGGTTACCCCGTAACCCGGTTAGCCCAAACGGGCTGCCCCGTAACCCATTTAATACGGGTTAAATGGGCTACTACCGGGTTATGGGTTAACCCATGCCCATTTATGAATAAATGGGCGGGCTATGGGCTAACCTTCGAGTTAGCCCACCCCGCCCATTGCTCAGCCCTACTTCCCACCTCTCCCCTCCATTTCCTCCGTATCAAACATAGGGTTGGTGTTTCCTTTTAAAACCCCATTTAAATTATGTAATTTACCTCTCTTATGCATAATATAAGAAGTTGGTTTAAAAAAATTATGATTTAAAATATAAATTTTTTTGCTGTTGCCCCTATTAAATATAAAAGATTGAGGAAAGAACTGAAAAATAATAAAAATGTAACATTAAGTACAATTTTATTATCTTTTAGGGATAAAATAAAAAAAAAATTATCATTTTAGAACACATTTAATGAGTAGGGGTGTTTATGGGCAGGGCATGCCCCCTGCCTAATGCCAGCCTGCAAAACCCTTGCCCTGCCCATAAAAACCCTAACCATTTCAGACTGGGCAAAGTGAGCTTCCAAGCCAAAATATAAATTTTTCTACTGTTACCCCTATTAAATATAAAAGATTGAGGAGATAACTGAAAAATAATAAAAATGTAACATTAAGTACAATTTTATTATCTTTTAGGGATAAAATATAAAAAAATATCATTTTAGAACACATTTAATGAGTAGGGGTGTTTATGGGCAGGGCATGCCCCCTACCTAATGCCAGCCTGCAAAACCCTTGCCCTGCCCATAAAAACCCTAACCATTTCAGGCTGGGCAAAGTGAGCTTTCAAGCCAAAATGGTGACGCCTTAGTAAAAAAGTTTCTAGTTAAAGTAAGGGTATTTTGTGACAACTATAAAGAAATGAATACTTGAATAAACAACAAATTTCACAAAGTAATAGCTTTGATTTCCCTTAAATAGATATATCTTTTAATAAAACACCAAAATGAGCTTGCTTTTGCATCTTACAAACCAGGGTTTTAAAAGTCGAACCGAACTAGACGGTCTGACCGGTTGGATCGTCGCTTAGTCCACGCAACGACTAGGACAGAGGCATTGGGCTGCTTAAGTGGTTTACCTGTTTTAGACCGTCATTTATCTGCTTTTGGGCCGGAAACCGTTCTGAATTTCTTAAAACCAGACAGGATGAAGGATATTATCATAAAATTAAAAAAAAGCCCAAAACCTGTATATTTAATTTATTACAGGTCAAAAAATATTTTTTAAAAAGAAGGAAGACCCCTCTTTGGCTCTTTGGTGTTTTGTCGTGACCGAATTCGTGAGTGCCCTAGGTCCCCACCACCACTGTTGAACTCAAACTTCTCCGTCTCTCTATCTTCTTCCTTCGCCTGCCATGCTCCACCGTGCTCTGTTGTGCTATGTTCATACGTGCCGTCGTCCACCAGCATTTACGGTCATGTTTTATTTTCTGGTTCTGTCCATCTTCATTCACACGTTCCCATGGTTGAAGCTTTAAAGGTGTTGGAAAAATCCAAGTCAGAGAAGTAAAGACCTGAAGGCAGAGATGATCATAAATTTGAAGTCATCACAGTCCAAATCTGTTGGATTCTAAACAGGTAAATAATTATCTGTTCATTAGTATTTATGAAGTTTTTGCTTAAATAATCTTTGAAGCTTTTGTATCGGTTGTTTCTTTGGTGAACCTCCATGCTTTGTTTACTTTGCCAAAGCCAGAGTCGACT